AGTGAGAGATTTACGTATCGATGGCCCATAGCATTCAAACACCGTAAGGGGATCTGAAGTAAGGGTAACTACTTGAATTTATTAAAAAGAGCATTTAAAAATAGAAGAAAAAAGGCCGCCGAAATTATGAAGGAAAAATGGCGTACAAGGAATATTAACACCTATGTATTAATTTTTTTAAATTTTTAGTAAATAGACTTATTTGCCGTTATATAAAATGAAATAAGTCGAAATGTGATATTTGTAATGAATAAAAAATGTAATGTGAGTGGTCGATCGATATCTTACCTAAAGTTACCGAGGTGCGGACAGCAAACTCTAAAAAATCATGGTATCGAATCCTTCATTTGACTACTGTCGCCACTCCTAACATTAGCATTTTAATTTTACCTGGGTTACTACTATTTTTTTTTCTAAAATAATTGTACATGGCAATAGCTGATTAAATTTTTAGGATAGTTTTTAAGTTAGTTACTGTTCCAATTTGGATTCCAATTGAGATCAATTAGGGCATTTATCTTTAGTAATTTGGAAATAAATAGACGGATACATACTCACCCTGAAAATAACCAGATTGAACTGCTTGGCTTCGCAGATGCATCAACAGCAGCATAAGCTGCAGTACTCTACGTAAGAGTGATACAAGGAGACTTTACTTTTATAGTCTATGTCACTATTTTTACTTTATAGTCTATGTCACTATTTTTACTTTATAGTCTATTTCCTTTTTACTATTTTTACTTTATAGTCTATGTCATATTTTCTAGTTAGTCACTATTCTGGAAAATAAAAAAAAAGTTGCTCCAATAAAACAAATCTCCATAGCACGGCTAGAACTATGTGCCGCCGTTTTATTGGCAAAATTACTGGCTGAAACATCAAAGAAATTGAAAATACCTAGCAATCAAATATACGCCTACACCGATTCAACAATTGTTTTAGCTTGGATCCAATCACAACCTATAAGATGGCAAACATTTGTAGCTAACCGGATAACAGAAATACAAACCAGACTGGATAATGATCGATGGAATCATGTAGCTTCAACAGAGAACCCAGCGGATATTGCTTCTCGTGGAATAGAACCCTCAGAAATGCAAGCCGCTGAACTGTGGTGGAGTGGACCGCATTGGATGAGAAACCCGAACATACATACTAACAAAATACAGGTAACTGAAGCAACATTAGATGAAAGAAAACAACACACAATAGTATTTTACAACAATACAGAAGAATTAATACTAAATAGATTCTCAAATTTCTAGAAAATGATACGAGTACTTACCTATTGTCCACGATTCCTAAACTTAAAGAAAAATAAAGAAAATTGAAATAAAATGCCTATTTATTTTACCGCGGAAGAAATGAAGACAACTCTCGACGCATGTATTAAAACTACTCAAGAAATCGAATTTGCTGAAGAGATAGGAGACATGAAAACAAAAGGAAAAGTAAAAAAAAGTAGTAAATTAATCACACTCACACCATACATAGATGACAAGGGTTTGTTACGAGTTGGTGGCAGATTACAATCAGCTAATATGTCACAAGATTATAAACACCCAATAATTATTCCGAAAAATTCTCACCTGGGATATTTGTTGATTAGAGATGCACATGAAAGAGTGATGCACGCAGGAACTTCTCTAAAAATCAACTATCTAAAAAGCGAATATTGGATAATGGGCTTAAAACAGTCAGTGAAAAAATACCTCAGTAAATACGTTACATGCACTAGATACAATGCCACAACGCATCAATTATGGGTGAACTTCCGAGTGTAAGAGTAACCCCTGAAAGAGCTTTTGAGTGTTGTGGTGTAGATTTTGCCGGACCTATACAGATGAGAGTGTCAAAGGGTAGGGGAAAAATCTTACAAAGGATACATCTCATTGTTCGTATGTATGAGAACAAAGGCTATACACTTAGAAGCTGTAAGTGACCTTACCACATCTGGATTCATTGCAGCATTTCGACGATTCGTGTCACGTAGGGGTCACTGCGCTGAAATGGGGAGTGACAATGGTTTGAACTTTGTTGGCGCTGCAAATGAACTTACAAGCATTTACAATGCCGTCTATGAGACTTTTTTAGAACGTGACCCTCATAGTTCCCTCATTGCATAAGTAACAATACGAATAAATTATGATTCCGAAAAAAATAGTTTTTCAGTATATGTTTCTTAGTGATACATGTTGTTTCAGTCAAATTTTCACTTGTTGTTGTTGTGCGTACATAATATAATTACACGGCAGAAGTACTCTCTTGCTGCCGTTTGTGTACATAATTTAATTACACCCTATATACATGAAGATAATAAATAAACTAATAATTAATTTCGTACACCATTACTCTTTCAAATAGTAACTGAAAATAAGAAAATGCATGTATAGAGTTCTATAACAATCTCTCAAGAAATGCCTGCAACGCCTAAAACATCATCAGAGCCACCATCTAAGAAGATAAAATTGCAACAAAGTGACACCACTAACATTCAACACGTCAAGAAAAAAGATACTACGCCGGGAAATTAAAACAGTCAATAGTCTGAAATCATTGCTATTATTAAACAAGTGTGATAATTATGATGAGGTACGAAATATGATCCACCTGAATTTTGAAAATATTCACACACAATTAGACAAAAAATTTGTCAAACCGACGTGTAAGATATAATGGCGATGTTAAATCGTTCGCGTTGCCATTATATTGTTAATCCTACAAAGCTTATAACTTTTTAAGAAACCATATTGCGCTTCCTTATCCTGGTCACATTTTATCGACCCACGACTGTAATGTAGGTTTCATGGCAGAAGTTTTTAATTTATTGAAAAAAAAAAGTTTCCGGAAATACTAACTTAGTGGACGTAGCGTTGATTTTTAATTCTATACACATAAAATCTCAACTTGTATATGACCCAACTAAAGATAAATTTTGGGGTCGTATCGATTTTGGAATTACAGCGGACCTTCTGAAAGCGGGTGGAACACCGGTACTTGAAGTCCTTCAGAAGCTCTTCAATTCCGTCGTCCATGGTGGCACTACTCCAGAGGCGTGGAGCAGAAGTGCGGTGGTCTTGTTCTTTCCCTTCTGAGCCGCGTCTACGTGCTGTTTTCGAGAGTCATTACGAATTGTCTCGCACGCAGACAAGACGACTTCCAGCCTCCCGAACAAGCCGGTTTCCGAAAAGGCTTCAGTACCATAGACCACATACATACCCTGCGGCAGATTGTATAGAAGACCGAAGAGTACAATCTGCCACTGCGTATGTGGACTATGAGAAAGCCTTTGATTCCGTCGAAATTTGGGCGGTGCTACAGTCCCTTCAGCGGTGCCAAGTTGACTGTCGGTATATCGAAGTGCTGAAGTGTTTGTACAGCAGGGCTACGATGGCTATCCGAGTACAGAACCAGAGCTCGAAACCTATCCAACTGCAGAGAGGTGTAAGACAGGGTGACGTTATATCCCCGAAACTCTTCACCGCTGCATTGGAAGACGTTTTCAAGCTACTGGACTGGAAAGCATACGGTATTAACATAAATGGCGAGTATATCACTCACCTTCGATTTGCCGACGATATAGTCCTTATTGCAGAATCGCTGGAGGACCTAAGCACTATGCTCAATGACCTCAGTAGTGTTTCCCAACGGATAGGTCTTAAGATGAACGGCTGGGCTGCGTTCGGGAAATTACGATACATCTTCTCGTCAGGTATACCTCAATCTCTAAAAACTAGATTGTACAACCAGTGCGTGTTGCCAGTGATGACTTATGGATCTGAGACGTGGTCCTTCACTGCTGGCCGTATGAGGACGCTTAAGGTCGCTCAGCGAGCTATGGAGAGGGCTATGCTCGGGGTTTCTCTGCGTGATAGACTCAGAAATGAGGATATCCGCAGTAAAACCAGAGTGACCGACATAGCCCAACGGATAAGTAAGCTGAAGTGGCAATGGGCCGGCGCAAATACGAAAACGTTAGTGACAAAAATTTGTGCTAAAAGACAGACCGTCACTGCATCTAGACGGAGCTGGCCTACACTACTTACTGAATTTGAAACTCGGGGACCTCTTTTGTATTCCGCTAGGTTTTAAAGTATTGCAATCAATTTATCCCAAGGAATATTATTACGTATGAAATGGGGGTTGCTAATGTAATTTTATAGTTAATTATAGTAATTCACCGTGCAGTGCAGCGCTTTACTAGTGCTATTATCCAATCTATGGCCCAAGTCTATGTTCACCTGCGAACATTTCATTAACTGTAACTATAACGATACGACCATATGCCATAGAGATTAGAATTAGCTTACAGAATCATAAATTCTGGTGCAAATGTGGGATAAAGCCAGCTAATGTGTAGGATATTATGTTTTTAAGTTTATTTATGTACTAGGTCATAAAAAAAATTAATAAAGATATTAATAGTTATTTTGCAACCATCCGCTAAATTAAATAAAATGATGTGTCTTCTCTAGTTTGAAGAGCACCTTCCGCCCTCCCTCAGCAGGGATCTCTTATTATTAATATCTTTATAGTAATGGATTTCCGCTAAGTAACGCCTGATTCTATCAATTATCAAAAAAAATTGTTGAAACTATAAATTGCAATAAAAAAATTGTAAAAAATAGTTTTTCATACATTTAAAATTTTGAGTTTTTATTTAGTTTTAAATAAAATTGAACTAAAGACAGATTATAAACGATTCTGTATATACAATGACAGCCGTTCATATCAGTATCATTATTATATTGTCATTTTGTTATAGCTATGTATGTAAATTAAATAAATTTAAATATATAACATAGTAATTAGTAGGAATTTTAAAGATTTCTGTAGAAAAATATTGCATCAGTTGATCATTTCGGCTGCAGGTTAAAGTTTTCTTGTTGACTTCAGTTTCATAGAGTTATGTATTGTCAAAGGAAAGTAAGCCTTACACATTTGTCCTATGACTTACTTTCATTAAACTACTATTCACACTACATTTTAAATAGATTGTTCTAAAAGTCCCACTCTGTTTGCTTCTCTATCTCCATCTCTGATAATTTCTCTTGCAATAATAAAGCTGACATGTCACCTGAAAATAAAAATATTAATTTATACAAGCTAACATAGATCACTGTTGAAGATCATCTCCCCACAGATTTTTTTATAGAATAAAGGTGACAAACAAGCACACAGTCCAACTGATAGTTGTTGGATGCTGTGGCCCGTAGATAAAAGTAGACAGTACATACGTAGTAAAATACATACACTACATAGTAAAATGTAGACATTTATCCCCGATTACGAACCAAAACGTAGATGCATTGTCACCCCTGAGGACTAACATGGAATGCTTCGTTTCCAGTAAAACAGGGTCTCCGGATCCCTACACTCACCATACGAAACAGCAGTATTAAGCTGCTATTTTACGCTGGTATTCTGTGAGAGCGTGGTCCTTCTCCGGTCGAGCCGACCCATTCGTGCTACAACCATAATATAACTGCAGCGTAGCTCTCTTCCCTTAGGCGGAATATTTGTCATAGTTCCATAGCAATACTTATACGAAAGCAAATGGCCCGCAGCTGTGGGCTTCTTGGGTAATTTTTTCAAAAAATTGCATCTAATTTTATTTTATTACTATTTTTTTTTACTAGCATCATACTCCCGTAGCCCATAAAAACCTACATCTATCCTCGATTAAGAATCAAAATGTAGATACGTTGTCACCACTAAGGACTAAGGTGGAATGCCTCGTTTTTAGTATAAAGGGTCTTCGGTTCTTTACACTCACCATACGAAACACAGCAGCATTCAGCTGCTATTTTACGCTGTCATTCTATACTCTGGTCGAGCCGACCTATTGACGCTGCAGCTATAATATAGTTCCCCTGAGGTGTTGCGGCTTATAGTCGGTTAAAAAACATTGACAATTGTAGTTCAAATATTTTTTGCCAATGGCAACAATTTTGTTTATCTTTTTATTAGAACAGTAATTGAAGCATAGAGATGACTTGCAACTATCATAAATATGCCTTTATACCACGCTCGACAAGGGAAAATCTTCTGGTATAGCATCCCTCTGTCAGCGACGGCTCCGTGGCGCAGCTGTGAGTTGCAGCGCTAAGGGCCGCGGGTTCGAATCCCGCACGGAACAGGTATTTGTATGGCCTACAAATAATTGTTCCAGTTCTGGATGTTTGTCCTTGTGCCATACCATACCATACATGAGAAAATCTTAGTGCGGAGAATAACGTTTTGTTATAAAAAAAAAACATAAACAGAAACTGTTGTATTCAATATAGAAAGATAGAATTATAAATAACACTTATTGAAAATCACTTTTTTTTAATTTACCACTGGTTCGGAAAAATCCTCTGTCAAGAAGCCCGGCGGGATAATTTTTTTAAAAATAATAGCTTACAATCATGTACGTTACAATTAACAACACAAGACAAATTAGAAATAGCTTGGTAGCGATCACCCTTCCCAGGGGTTATTATCATCCATAAATTCCTAAATATTATAATAACCCTTTTTATACAAACTTAGTTTAATAACATTTTAGAACTTTGTGCAGGTCAAATTTTATATATTTTCTGTAATTTTGTTGTAAAAGCGTATACATCGCCCTAAGAATGAATTTCTTTCTAAAACACATCTTGAGAGGTTGGGATTCGGAGGAAGTGAGAGATACAAGTGTCGTGCCTTTTTTGCTTAAAATTTATTGTCTTATTAAGTGTTGTTGATTTACTGTAGTAAATTTTTCTGTCTTGGTGGAGGTTTTAACATCTGTAAAAATAGTGTTTGTAGTTGTGCCGTTTTTATGTAATTTTTTTGTTGTTGTAATAAAATGGAGGACGAACCTCCCGATCCCGGAAGGGTTCGCAATGATTCTTTTCCTTACCCATTAACATTGATAATGTAGAACTAATTAACCGTAAACGTGTCCAAGTAAGTAACGAGTCTGCCCATCCACAAAAAATAGTTATTACTGATCCAAATCAACAGTTTCCTTCAATACAATCCTCATATACCCATCCTGATTTTATTAATAAAAAAGTTAAGTACTCTCAAGATGATGCCGCTCCTTTTCTAGTTCACGTAAGTAAAATCTCAAATGATCAGCTGTCTGGAGTAACTGTTAAACCAATTAAATTCGGTCACTTTCTGTAATAACAATATTAAAAATATAGTCCATGATGGAGTCAAAAAAGTTGGACGAAATAGAATATCAGTGGAGTTTAAAACAGCTGCAGATGCAAACACCTTTATCGATCACCCAGCTCTCCAAATTTCTAAATATGAAGCAACCATCCCCTCATATAGTATCACTCGTATGGGGCTAGTTAGACAAGTTCCCATAGAGTGGACACTGGAAGAATTAATAGCAGCTACAGAAATTCCCTCAGACTACGGCTCTATAATTAAAGCACTTCGACTTAATAGACGATCAGTGAGAAGAAAGCGTTTTGGGTTCCAACTGGTGTTCTAACTTTTTCTGGACAAAAACTTCCTCCCCATATTTACTGTTTTTGCACCTCAATGCCAGTGGAAAAATATGTTTTGCCACTAATTCAGTGTCATAAATGTTGTAGATTTGGCCATGTTACTTCCCAGTGCCGATCATCCCCTCGCTGCTTTGTATGTGCACAGAATCATGAAGGTTTACTTGTACTCGACAAACTCCTACTTGCCTATTCTGCTCTGGTCCCCACACCGCAAAAGACCCTACGTGTCCTGAACATCTAAGGCAAAAATCTATTAAACTTGTTATGTCACAAGAAAATATTTCATATTTAGAAGCTTCAGCTAGATTCCCTCAGACAAAAAGATCCTTTGCTGATACAACAAGAATCCAGCCTCGTAATTGTTCTCAACAGACCCCTTATACCATAACTGACAGTCTTTCAACCCCTTCGGCTCAGTTCTCACAAACTGCATCATATAAAAAAACAATTTTTATCCCTCAACGTACCTGCAGCCAATCATTAAATTCTGGATATGATATGGCAGCCCATCAGGCAATTGTTGAGAATTCTAATTCTTCCCTTCCTAATGGGTGTGCTCTACTGGGAAATGACAACACTCCTCTAGTAATTATAATTTCTGCGAACTTATGATATCAATGCTAATTAACATGATCTCTCGTTTTAGTGACACGGAACTTCCTCTCAGCTTACACCAAAAACTTACTCAGCTTTCCTCCTTAGCCCGTAACATTCGCAGCCCCACCAATTCTTCAATGGAATTGTCGGAGCATTAGAAATAAAAAAAATGAACTCAATTACCTCATTAATAAACTTCATCCCTTCATTCTTGCCATCTAGGAGACATGGCTTAGGCCTGAGTCTCATTTTAGGGTTTCAGGCTACGCGTGCCTCCGGGATGATAGGAGTGATGGTCGTGCTGGCACCTCTATTTTAATTTCAAGAACAGTTACATTTTCACAAATTCCTCTCCCTTCTCATAGTCCAGCAGTAAATGCTGTTGCTATTAAGGCCCTTGATGTCTCTATTCTCTCTGTTTACATTCCTAATCCTGATGTAAATGTTTTAACAGAACTTGCAACACTTATTTCTTCTCTGTCACCTCCTACGGTTATTTTGGGAGATTTTAATATGCATCATGCTGTTTGGGGCTCCCATCTGTGTGATTCACTGGCTCCCTTATTTTTAGATCTTATTGATAATTTTAATATCTGTATTCTAAATGACGGGTCTCCTACCCGTCGAGTATCCCCATTACAAAATGTTAGAAGTGCCATTGACCCAACTCTCTGTTCCCCAGATATTGCTTCCCTTCTTTTGTGGCATATATTACCTTCTAGCTATGGCAGTGACCATTTTCCTATATTCATCACTACTCCTACTTCACCTAGAATAAATTATACATTTTGCCCAAGACTAAAGTATAATCTATCCAAAGCTAATGGGCAATTATATTCTACAGTTTTGGAACAAGAGGTTTCAACTCTTCCCCCAATTAACAATGATAATATTGCTCCTGTATATATAGAGTTCAGAAATGCAATTATTTCTGCTGCTAATAAGTCAATCCCCTTAAAAAAACTTTTCAAAAATAATTATCCTTCCCCTCCTTGGTGGTACCAAGATTGTTCAGTAGCTTGTAGGAGAAGAAAAGAGGCTGAATTAATATACTCCCGTTCTATGACTGCAGAGAATTATATCTCCTATAAAAAAATTGCTGCAGAAACCTTAAAATTTCTCTCAGACAAAAAACGAACTGGTTGGTTTAAATTCTGTGAGTCACTGTCACCTAGGACTCCCCCATCTTAGGTCTGGAGAAATGTTAAAAAATATCGCTGTGCAGTTTCTGGTGAAAATATAATTTCTAATGATCCTTCCCCGTGGATAGATGAATTCTCTAATAAACTTGCACCACAAACAGTCCCATCTTATGATGAATGCCTAGTTTTTAATTCTGTTTTTTTAAAAACAAATGATAAATTTGATTCCCCCCTTTTCTTCTCAGGAATTGTTTACTGTACTCAATGGCCTTAAAGACTCCTCACCAGGTATTGATGGGATTCCTTATTCGTTTATAATTAATAGTAGTGAGAACACTAAAACTGTCTTACTATCCATTTTAAATTTTATTTATATTACTGGTGATCCTCCTGCTGAATGGAAAACCCAAATTGTTTTGCCCATTCTCAAACCAGGTAAGTCTAGCAATGACCCTTCCAGTTACCGACCTATTGCCCTTTCTTGTACTTTGGCAAAAATCTTGGAACATTTAATAAAAAATCGCTTGGAGTGGTTTTTGGAAAGGAATAATCTCTTACCAAAAAGCCAACTCGGTTTCCGAAAAGGTTAAAGTACCATGGATAGCCTTAGTACTTTGGTCACAGATATTCATATTGCTTTTTCAAGACATGAATTTCTCATAGGAGTTTTCTCGGATATTTCTTCTGCATATGATAATGTGCTTCTTCCTGTGCTCAGGCAGAAAATGCTTAATCTGAGCATTTCAGTGAGGATAGTCAATTACGTCTCTAACTTTCTCTCTTCTAGATCAATATCTATAAATGTTAAAAATTTCCTGCTTCCCCCCAAAAACTATATGGAAAGGACTTCCACAAGGCTCAGTTCTTAGTCCTCTCCTTTATTCTATATATACTCACGATTTAGAACTTTCAGTTAATTCTTTTTGTAATGTTCTTCAATATGCAGACGATTTAGCTCTATACATCTCCTTAAACAACTTCACAGTGGCTGTTCCGTTAAATTCCAGGATATCGAATGGTTAACTAATCATGGTCTCTCTTTATCTGTGGCCAAGAGTAATGTGGTGATCTTTTCCCGCCAAAGGCAAGTTCCCGATATATCTGTTGTATATGATAAGCAACCTATTCCAGTTAGAGGCAATGTTAAATTTTTGGGAGTTATCCTTGATTCGAAATTGGCCTTCGGTTCATACATTGAATATATAACACAAAAATGCGAAAAAAACATAAATATTCTTCGGTCTTTGTCTGGTGTTTGGTGGGGGTCTCATCCTTTTTCTCAGAAATTACTATACAATGCTTTAATACGAAGCCACCTTGACTATGGATGTTTTCTGTTGGAGCCTTGCAATAAATCATCCCTGAAAGTAATGGACAAAATTCAATCGAAATGCCTTCGCATTATTACAAGGGCAATGAAATCCTCACCAATAAATGTTCTTCAGGTTGAGTGCGTAGATCCTCCTTTAAGCTTAAGAAGGCAATACCTTTCAGACAGATTCTTATTTAAGATCTGCCAGCTTTCAGATCATCCCCTAATTCCTAAATTGCATCTTCTTTCAGAGTATATCTCACCTGACCGATACTGGACCTATAAGGACTCTCCCTGCTTGTTTAGAAGTTTTGTAATTTTTCTTCAGCTTCCTTACCCAATCTTTCAATGTAAAATAAATCCACTCTTTGATGTCCCTTACGAGGCTATTGTTTACCAACCCGACATTCATCTAGATCTAGGTATAGAAAAGGATTCTCCAATGGTAAATTTGAAATTAAAAGAAATTATAGAAAACACCTTTAAAGATTGGCTTGTCATGTATACAGACGCTTCAAAACAGTCTGATGAAGACCATACTGGAGCTGCTGTTTGGATTCCTAAGTTCAAAATCATTCTTAACTTTAAATGCCCCTCACTATCCTCCACTTTTACCGGTGAAGCAACTGCAATCAGTGACGCTTTGTTATATGTAGAGTCACATAATCTTAATAAAACAGTTATTTTTACAGATTCCAAAAGTTGTTTGTTAGCTATTTTGTACAATCAATTCCATAACAAACATAAATTTCCACTAATTCTTAAAATAAAAAATACCCTATTCAGATGCCATCTTAAAGGAATCCATGTTTCAGTGGCCTGGATTCCAGGCCATAGTGGTATCCATGGTAACGAAACAGCTGATGTACTCGCTAAAAATGCAATTGCTAATGGCATTCTACAAAATTTAATTTACTCACATGACCTAATTTTGCTAGCTAAAAGGAAACTGAATGAAAATTGAATAAATTATGGGAAGTTTCCAAAAATGTTAAAGGTAAGCACTTTGCTGCCATCCAAGAGGTTATTCCTCCCAAGCCCTGGTTCTAAGTTCTACTAATTTAACAAAGCAAATAAACATGCAACTTCAATCATTTGTAGATTACGAATTGGACACGCTTGTACACATGCACATCTGGCAAAAATCAGAGTAAGGGATAGCTCATTGTGTGAATGTGGCTTAGATGAAGGTTCCACAAACCATATTTTTTTCAACTGTCCCAAATTATCCTCCTCCGTTTATGATTACCTTCCTCCTTATATTCCTCAACCTATAGATTTTAATTTTCTTTTAACATATACTAGTACTCCTTTTGTGTATATTTTATGTGATTTTATTAATACTAATAATATGAAACTTTAAATCCTTGTCACTTTTAACATACGGGTAAGAGTCTAACACCTGTGTTTGTCATATTTGTTCTAGATAATTCAACAAATAGATTTGTCAAAATTCTCGGAGGAAAACTGAATCCTTGTATTATCACAGACTCTTATTTTAATTAAACTCATAAGCTTCCATTTTCCACTCAATACGTAATTGGCGAATTTTATCAAACCGCCACAAAAGAAAGAAGAAGAAGAAAACACATCTTAAGACACCAACAGGACGAAATAGGATAGAGGACAAACGTACGGATTTGAAAAAGTTTCTCAAATGGCAACCTCATATTGCCAAGCGCAGTGTAGGCGATCCCCCACTAGATGGAGTGTTGACCTGATAAAACACGCAGGTAGTCAATGGCTGCAGATGGCTCAGAACCGTATTTTGTCGGAATTCATCTGGGAAACCTGTGTTCGGCAGAGAACTAGTGGTGGGCTGAATAGATCGGATAAAAGAAATATCTGAAATATCGACTTACGAACTTACAAGAAAAGAGCCTGCTCTTTTTTGAAAGGCCGACATCACAATTACACTCATCTGCAATTCCCCTGGTGTTGCAGTTTCATGAGCGACGGTAGTCACTTACCATCAGGTGAGCCGCATGCTCGTTTGCCCCCTCTCATATTAAAAAAGACTACTTACTAGGGTCTGCTTTGATGGGCTTCACGCGGCCGATGAGGCTCGGCAAGAAGTCTGTTTTTCTTATTTGCTTGAAGAAAGCATGATTCAGAAGCTGAGTTGCAGACGGCCGTCGCTCTGGATCTCTAAATACATAATTCATTATTATTTTTATTCTCTAAAGACATAAGACAACATTAACATGGTAGAGCCACGGTGCAACTACATTACGATTGTAGCTCGACCGGGGAAGGACACAGATCACAGAATACAAGCGTTAAATAGCATCTTAATACTGCTGTGTTTCGTATGGTAAATGTAGAGAACCGGAGACCCGTTTTATGGAATCAAGGCATTCTGTGTACTCTTTAGTCATCCTTATTCTATAAAAAAAATTGCAAGGAATTAAGATGATGCCTTAAATTCCCAGTACGCGAGTAAATAGAGTTCAGTCGCTGTTGGCACATGCTCGTCAGTGAAGGAAAACATCACGAGGAAAGGTGTACTGTTCATAATCCACTTAAAATTAAATTGTGGTCAAGAGTGGGACGTAATTTTTAATGGTTAGACTTTATTCTATTAGGTATGTGCTGAGTCAGCTAAACTTGACTCGACTACTAGAATAGAATAGAATAGAATAATTTTTATTCAATATAGATTACAAGTAATTCTTATTGAAAGTCATTTTTTTACTTTATCACTGGTTCGAAAAAAACCTCTGTCCTGGTAGAACCAGCAAGACACCCAGCGGGACTTTTTTTAAAAAAAAATTACAATGTCAATGGTCACAAAATATTTACAAAATTTATTTTAGAAACAGCTTGGAAACGACCACCTAATTCCCAGGGGTTATTATCAACCATGTAGTCATTTATATCACAATAACCTTTTTTTATACAGTTTTTGATTAATTAAATATTTAAACTGGGTAATAGAGAGATCTTGTATATTTTCTGGGACTTTGTTGTAATAGCGTATACATTACCCCAAGAATGAATTACTGACTCTGTAGAGTCGAGAAACTGGTAGCACCAGCTTTTGTTTGTTCCTAGTGTTTACAGAGTGTATGTCACTTTTTTTTACTAAATCTACCTTTGTCTTTGTGAACATACATCAAATTATCATAGATATACTGAGGCCAAAGTTAATATATTTATTTCTTTAAATTTTTCTTTAAGAGACTCTCGGTTTAAAGTTGTAAATAGCTCTTATGGCCCTCTTCTGCAAAACAAAAATAGTTTCTAAATCAGCCGCATTCCCCCATAGCAAAATTCCATATGACATTATGCTATGGAAATAACTGAAATAAACTAATCTAGCTGTCTCGACACTAGTGATATCTCTAATCTTTTTTACAGCACAAGCTGCAGAGCTTAGTCTGCTTGCCAGTTAAGATATACGGACACCCCGCTGAAGCTTAGCGTCGAGAGTGATGCCAAGAAAAACAGAGGATTCAACAGGACTCAGTTCTTCCCTATTTAAAAACACATTGGTACTCGGATTATTAACATTTCTTGCTGTACTGACTTGTGTACTTTATAGGTACCAATTTACTCAAGTTGTAACACTAAAATATTTGAATAACTAGCTGTGCCCCGCGACTTCGTCCGCGTGGTATTTATTACGATTGGATTTCATGGGTTTTAACTATGGCGAGGAACCCTAATTCTTTTTCTAAAATAAAAGTAAAATAAGTTACTCCATACAACATCAGCTATCTGTCAGTGAAAATCCCGTCAAAATTGGCCCAGCCATTTCGGAGATTAGCCGGAACAAAAAGACAGACAGATTTTTTTTAAAACTGTTGTTTTTGTTATAAGTTCAGTATATACTTTCATAATACGTATTTAGTAAAAGCTGTTCTTTTGACATTACAAATAGATACTTCAATTTTATTTATTTCTATCGATAATGTCCTCCAGACGGAATTGGGGTGACGTCGGAACGAAATGGGATGATGAGATTCTCTCTAATGTATCCTGAAAAATTATGCGATGTTGGTCTGGAAGTGATAGGTCTCTTAAAAGCTACTACTAGGGACTTATAAATTATAACACAAAAAGAATGCGCCAACTTTGCTACTTGCCCAGCATGTCGTAAAAGATGACTTATGGGATATTGGGTGTGTGCTTGATTGTATAGGTAATGGACTTAGCCATTTATCACTTATTACACAATTTCTTATCTATTCCGATATTTTATGGTTAAACGTGTTCAGAGTAGCTCACTTCTCTTTGGACTCTCCACGCCCCCGGGGGGATTCAATCGTGACATTTTGTATGTGTGTATATGACCACACTAACCTCTGCAGTGCCATCTCACTGATGTGATGGAAGGTGTCGGACAGCTTTCTGTTTGCATACACTTGCCGCAGTCGAGAAACCCCGTCGGCACTGTCACCCACTCCACTGTCCGTGTTATACATACCTGAAAGTATCATAAATATCGGACTTGGTGAAGTATTTCGTTACATAATGTCATTTAATTGAGAAACTAGTTTTAAACAAATGTTTATCAGTTTCTAGAGTAATATAGGTCTTTACCTATGAAATTGCTGTTTTTATGGAATAAGTTAATGTAATTTTTTTCTCCAGATTTTTTATTTCTATTATACAAATTAATCACCCATGCAATCGATGAATCTTTGCTAACGCATTGGCAGTTTGTTGATATGCTTTTTGAAGAAATCAGCTAGATGAGAGGCAACAAATTCTTCAAAGGCATTTTGTACTGCCCCTCGGGTATTGAATATTTTGGTATCCAAATTCTGGATAAAGTAGAAGTCTGTAGGCGCAAGGTTTGGTGAGTACGGCGTATGACGGAGAGCTTCCAACCCCAGCTCTTGTAACTTGGAGACCATCTGTTGTGCAGTATGAGGTCGCGCGTTGTCGTGCAGGAGTAGCGGGGACGAGCGATTGACCAAAGCTGGTTGGAGACGTGAGTTTTAAAATTAAATTAAATTGAAATTTTAATTCTTAATCAAATTAAAATGATTTTGATTTGAAATGGCCAGTACTGCAGATTGACAATTCGATAGGTAAAGACTTATTATTAATACACGAAATGCTCTTTTTTGCAATTTATGCAATTTATTGCACATAACTCTTTTTTTAATTTTTCTAACTTTAGAAATATCTGTAGATTAGTTTATTCGTTTTTAATAGAGAAATACGTAAGAAATATTAATCGTTTACATTAAATCTGTCAAATATTTCACCTCATTCAAAGTGGCGCCAGGTGGCAGAAAAAGTGTTGGTTTTAATCATTGAATGTGAAGATCAAGATCAAGCATTTTAAATTAGTTTATACAGAATTATCATTGTGTAGTGGCGTAGTATGTCTAGTAGTTTTAAAAGTCTTTTAATAATGAGACCAAAGATTCGAATCTGGCTGATCTTTCTCCGATCGTGTCAGATTGCAGTCCTGCTTGAGAGGGAGGGAACAGAAAATGAAACAGTGTTTGCGTACACACTTGTAAATTGTACTGTAATCCTCTCCTGCTAGAAAGGCCACCGTGACCGATATTCAGTCTGGAGGACATTAAGAGTCAAATTAAACAGGAGATGGACAGCACATTTTACATGTGGTAGAGCCACGCTGCAGCTATATTATGGTTGTATCCTGAATGGGTTGGCTCGACTGGAGAAGGGCCGCGCTCTCACAGAATACCATCGTAAAATAGCAGCTTAATGCTGCTATGTTTCGTATGGTGAGTGTGGAGATCCGGAGATCCTATTTTACTGGATATGAAGCATTCCATCTTAGTCCTCAGGGGTGACAATGCATCTGCATTTCGATTCTTAATCAAGGATAAATGTAAATGTCTATGGGCTACAGCATTCACTTACCATCAGGTGGACTGTGTGCTCGTTTGTCACCTTTGTTCTATAAAATAAAAATAAAAGCATTTTCCTGATAACCACTCAAAACATTAAAAAAACCGCAGTTACCAAACCGCCTGTCAAACGTTGTCGCCAATAATGGTAAATGAAGAGACATTTACCATGGTTGCTATGTTATGGACAAACTTGATATGGACTCTGGAAAAATATTTTTTTCAATCATACAGGTTTCCTTACGATGTTTTTTTAGCACTGAATACTTAAAATTGCAAATATTAATAAAATTGGTTTTGATGTGCATTGAACTAGGGGGTCTTTTAAAATAATTGTCAAACTTATCTCTCTGGATTAGTTGCTGATTCTTTCCCGGAGAGGTTTTTTCTGAACCAGTAGTAAAAGCACAAATGACTTTTGTTAAGTTAGAGTAAGCATTGTTGTAATATATATTCAATAAAAATTAGTATACTCTATTGTTTCCTTAATTTAAATCTGTGCTAGTTTAAATATATGTTTTTAATTTTCTATGTTCAAAGATATATGAGTTTGAACATGAAACTACTTAAATGATAACTGCAATGACATTATTAAACAACACTTACTCTTCATCTCTCCATCGTCAAGAGGCTCCGGAAACGACGAGCAATCGAGTAGCTGAGGCCTGCTTCCCCTCACTTTCTCCGTAAACATGAGGGTAGTGGGTACTTCCGCAAAGGGAACCGCGCCATTGGCAAGTTCGCAGCACAGCACGCCCAGTGAATAAATGTCTGAACGTTCGTCATAGCCCTTCAAGTTCTAGTATGGGAAAAACATGGGCAAATATTATTACTCTATAAACTACTGACAAATTAAGCACTATCAAGGTTTCGGTGGAATTTTTATTGCTCCAAAACTGTTGGTTACAGGTTTATTTTCCTTCTTCATCAGTCCATATATTCTACTGCTGGCCATCCGCCTCCCCCATTATGGTGGGATTCCCCGTAAATGCCACGATTGTCAGGCAATTTGTTCTAAGTTTGTTCTAATAACTCTTGGTAGTTATTCTGCAGAGCTCTAGGTTCACAACTTAAGATGCTATCTGTAAATGTCTATTGGTTGCAGTTGCCAAGGGGTGTAAAGGCATAGATTACAAGGTCATTTGTTGTTTTAATCTTCTTTTACTTATATAATTTACTCACTTGTTCTAATAACTCTGGGCTGAGCCACATCAAGTTAGCATTATCGTGATCAGGTGGAGGAAGATTGTGAAGTTGACGCTGGCGCCTGCCACGCACCATCATAGAGGCGGCACTACGGAGTCCTGACAGTTTTACACTACCATTTGTGTCCAAAAGTACATGACTAGCACGGACGCTCCTGAAATTTTTATACATGGTAGAGACATGGTGCTGCTATATTATAGTTGTATCACGAATTTGTCAACTCGACCAGGGAAGGACCACGCTCTCACAGAATACCAGCGTAAAATAGCAGCTTAACACTGCTGCGTTTGGTATGGTGAGTGAAAAGAACCGGAGACCCCTTTTACTGGAAACAAGACATTCTATCTTAGTCTTCACGGGTAACAATGCATCTAAAATTTGATTCTGAGTCAAGGATTGATGTAGAAGTCTATGGTACACAGCAACTACTTACCACCAGGTGGACTTATTCTATAAAAAAAATCAATAACAATTGGTAAAAAGTAGTTAATTGTAGATCTTGGTGGTCAATATACTTAAGTATCGGCTGATTCACAGGTTCTAGAATCAAATTCAAGCCAGGTCTAATATTAGTGAAACACATATTAATTTGTTTTGATATTGCAACTTGGTCTACATGTGTGACATAAGTAAGTAAAAGTAAAGTAAAGTTACAGCCTATATACGTCCCACTGCTGGGCACAGGCCTCCCCCTCATTTCTGAGAGGGTTTTAGGGCAAGGAAGTGTCCGCCGCAAGAAAGTGTCCGCAATGCGTGTTGACGAACTTCACATGTCTTCGAAATATTTTTTTCTTATTCCTCAGACATGCAGGTTTCCTCACGATGTTTTCCTTCACCGCCGAGCACGTGGTAAATCAGCACTTAAAATTGCATTTAACAATTTCATTGGTGCCGGCGGGGATCGAACCCGGGTTACTCGCATTCTGTTATATTTACAGCGAGCGTTAACCATCTGAGCTACCACGGCACTGACATAAGTGTATAATGCTTTTACCTAAAGATTTTGCAACTTATTCTAACCAAGACATTCTTGAAGGCACTTGGTCATCCTTCAGTGACAACCAATAATATTCATATGTAACATAATATTTATAAGTTATATTTATAATAAGTATTTATATTAGACCAGCCACTTTTGGCATTATAAACTATGATACTACAAGTTGTCATGATCAAATTTTTTTTTACCTAAGCATGTGAATGTAGCAAATAAATAAATAACAATTTAGTATTGAATTTTTACAAATAAAACCATTATTATTGGTTGCTAAATCACTTTTTTATGTTGATCATATTTGTAGAAGTTAGAATATGAGCACACGGCCTACATCACACTCTACATGTATCATCAATGAAGAATCCAAATACATATATATTGATATACAGAAACAAGAGATGGGTAGCAGCATTTTTCTAATAACAACTCAAAATTGTAAAAAACTGGTTCTAAATCCACTTCTTAAGGCAGGCAACTATGGGAAATATCCTAGCCAATCTAAGCAGAAAGCCTAGGTTCAGCAGTAGACTTTGATTGGCTGTTACAGTGATTATGATAAATTATTTTTTTTTTATTCATGATTAATTATTAATTGGTAAAGATGAAAAATGATGATAATGTTACCTGTGAACAAACAGTTGCTTGTGTAAATACTGTAAAGCCAGTAGGACATCTTTCAATATAATAGCACAGGCAAGCTCTGGGAGACCTTCTTGGAAATAGCGATCAAGAATATCACGACATGACCCTAAATTCATTAATGGGGAAACCACATACAACTCTCTGCCATGGACAAAAGATGTCAAGTATGACAGAATGTTGGGATGCTGTAGTTCTTTCCTTGTGAGGATATCTTGCTGGAATAAAGAAAGATTTGATTGAGTAAGAAAGATATTTATTTATTTTATTTATTTATTAATTTATTTCAATCAACAAGGATCATAGGGTAAAATAACATACATTAACATTTATTCTAATACTAAAATTATAAATCATTACTAATATTAATTATATCAAATGCGTAAGTATTTATAATAATATCGAAAATAAAATAATAATTTAATAATAATAAAATAACATAAATCTATTTCACCGTTACACATACATCATATCCAATTGAATTATATATTAACAAAACCACAAACAAAACTTACCATAATGATATAATACAATATTTTTTTTAAAATACAAAGAAAATGTCTTAAATATATATAAGTAAATATATATTATTATTAGGTAATAAATTAGTTCATATACCTGAGGTGCCTGTCCGAGGTAATGGGTACATGGACATGAACCCAGTGCCTCAAAAAAGCACACTCGGGTTTCTCACTAATTACGTTAAGAATGCTGTTGGCGCTCCCACGAACCCTGTGCGTCAGAGACGCAGTTCTTTTGCGAATAAGTGTTGAAAAATTGTCTACGTGGGCGTCAACAAACTACAAGACTACAGTAACGTGGGAGCCCCTGCAAAAATCTAAAAGCGTTATTATATTGTGTACGTAGGGTGTTGTATGCCCGCCGCGTATATCTGACCCATAAGGCACACGTATAGAGGGATTGGCAATAGGCCTTAAATAAAATAACTTTTACCTCGGCTGTACAGCGTGAGAACCGACGGGCCAGCATATTGCAGCGGACAGCCAGCGCTCTCCTTTCTCTTTCAATGTCTTTATCATCTTTTAAATCTTCAGTAACAACATGGCCTAGGTACTTAAATTCAGTTACTCGTTTAAGTGCAACACCCCCTAAAGTTACAGGTGGTACAAAATTCGGTTTCTTCGTGCCCACCTTAAACACCATGAGCTCACTCTTCGCAACATTATATTTTAGACCGTGGGCTTCTGCATAAACCTCACATATGAACAAAAGCCGTCTGAGTGCACAGACTGACGGGCTCAGAAGCACCATGTCGTCTGCGTAACTGATGTTGTTCATGCAGAGTCCATCAATAGAGCAGCCGACACGTGCACTCCCGAGTCTATCAATCAGTTCATTTATATATAAATTAAAAAGCGTAGGTGAGGTTAATCCCCCTTGTCTCACACCGCATTCCAACCTGTACTCGTCCGACAGTGCACTAGACCACCTTACCTGATTAATTTGATGATCGTACCAATAGCTAAAAATACTAATGTACGAGACGGGTAGACAAGCCTTTCGCAATTTATCCCACAGAATGTCATACCTGACAAGGTCGAAAGCCTTTGAAAGATCCAGGAAGGCTGCGTACACTGGCGTATTCCTTACAGTGTAATACCCCACAGTATGTTTCAGCGACAGTATTGCACACTCAGTTGATAGATTTGATCTAAAACCAAATTGTGCATCGTTTAACTTAATATGTACTTTTAACTGTCTCTCAAGCATACTGTCAAGTATCTTAGCCGCAGTTGTCGCTAATGAAATGGGCCGATAGTTGCACATATCTGAAATATCACCAGTTTTGTTTTTCAAAATCGGAACCACGATCATTCTCATCAGCTCTTCCGGCAAATACGAGTGCCTCATACATAGGGTGAAAAAGAGCGCCAGTAGTCTAGGTAAGTGCGGACCAGCGAACTGAAAGTGCTCGATGCTAAGGCAATCGTGACCAGGTGACTTTCCTCCAGTCATGCCATTTATCAAAACAGCGATGTCCCTGGCGGTGATGCGATCGGGCACATGAGTTGATGCACCAGTGTGGTGATGAACCTCAGCATCGACTTTAACATGTGACTGTAAAGAAGACTGAACCCGGAACTGACTCTTAAAAAAGATTGGCTATCTTCGCCGGTTCATTTACACCCCCAACGCTCACCGGGGTACCTGCTCTAGGACTCAACTGCTTAGTATGCTTCCAAAACCCACGAAAATCTTTATTCCTATGTTGATACGCTAGTTTATTCATCTTGATTTGATCTTGATTATTTTGACAAAACTTAAGTTTTCGTTTAAATACTCTTTTAGATTCCATCATATCATTATAAATATACCCACCATGCGGTTTCCCATGCCAAATCCAATTTAGGAATTTTTGTCGAGCATCCCGGTGAGCATCGCGCACGTGGCAGTTCCACCCTAGTATAGGTCGACCATGCCTTTTGACTATCTCCCGCTCGCGATCACTATCGTAACTGTACTTAGAGGCCTCACACAAAGTATTAACAATGGACATATATAATTTATCTATTACAGATCGATGTGCTAAAACATCACACACACTATCACAACACTGACTTAGTTCATACGGGAAATCGATTTCTCTTAATTTATCGTTACAATAGTTGCTATATATGTCAATTTGGTTTAAATTATGCTCACCCCATTTTACTTTATTGATTATAAATTCCTGAACCGAAATGGTCTGACCAATAAACGTCATTATGAATTTTAATTGTAACTACAGATTTCCATGCAGCCTGAGTTGTTAAACAGTGGTCAAGCCAGCTACAGCTACCATGTATATCACTCATAAAGGTATAAGAACGCGAGTCAAATCCTAACTTCATAATATCAGCTGCCAACCAATTTTGTTCTAGACAAAATTTTAACATTTCCTTACCAAACAATGTACCTGGGTGCGCATTAAAGTCTCCTAACACATACATAGTTTCAATATTCTCATTATCTACTATTGCAGATATTTCACTTAAACACTCAACAAATTCTACGAGATTGTCTAGCTCGTCCGTAGGCATATACACATTAAAAAATAACATCAGCCGATCCGAAACGCATACTTTAATAGCAATAATACGCTCACTCATACACGGAACTACAGTTACAGAGTCAAACACGTTGTTTTTCCATAGTAAGCCGACACCGCCATAAGGTGGTCCTCGCAATAATCCTTTACTTGTATCAACCGCGGACTTCCCAAAAAAACAAAAATCCTTATTGACCAAAACCAAAACCAAACTTGACCCAAGTCAGAAATCTCATGGGGCAGAAGCCATGTCTCCTGAAGCGCAATTATATCCGTCCTTTCACTCAAAGACTTTACAAAGTCTGCAGATCTTTTAAAAGATTTACAATTACAACTTATCAACTTGATAGTTGTATTGTCCCCAGCATCATTAGTCATCATTTTTCTTTAATAAAGATAGGTTACTCGATTTAGTTTCATTTAAATTATTCGGCTTATTAAACCTAATATATCTCCGGAAAGATACTCCAGTGGGCCATAGGTTTTCATCCATAAACACAGGTAACTTATTCTTTGGAATCATAAATTTGTAAGCTCCATAGTCTTTTTTGAATTTCATATTTACTTTCTCTAGTCGCACTTCAGTGATAGTTTTACATTTAATATAATTCATTATGTCATCAATCTTGCAGCTGTTATCAACGTTATAAATATAAAACGGGATTTTTATATTTGCTGCTTTAAATTTGCAGTCTCCGTGTATATCAGCTTTGCCTTTTAAACCTATAAATTAACTTTTTACGCGCTTGTTTCGCACTAATATCCAGTCGTCTTTTTCCATTTCATTATATAAATAAGCATGAGTATCGCCCACCCCCATATTACGAACTTGTTCAATCACTGGGTTATTCGATGAAACCACAGTAGCCTCTTTATAAGACAAAGGGGTGTGATTATTCTGCATTTCCGTCGACATAACCGTGGTGCGGGCTTCCATTCGTACTGGTTGTGATGAAAGTGGCATATCTTCAATACTCGCTTTACCGTATGATCGCATTGAGACAGATAGGAGCGGGTCAGTGTTATGATCTTCTGCCGACGTTGCGGGCGAGTCAGAAATATACATATGATTCAATAACATATTATTAGCTTTAGGATTACAGTTAGAATTCTCAGCGGTCGTTAACTCGTCATATTCAGATTGATTTGGTGAAATATGAGGTATACCACAAGGATCACCCGCACATTCTGAATTTCATCTGTCAATGTCAAATCGATATATAGTACTGAATCGATCTAGTGAATCGATATTTTACCCTAGAGAATCGAGATCGAATCTTTTTCTGTTTTATTTAGATTTGCAAAATTATTTACAATTGGTTGAATGTACCCCAACTCGTAAAGAATGACAGTTTTTAATTTAATTATTCAATGTTATCTGTACTTTATTGTATCTTTTGATATCGTAAATATAAACTTTTAACGCAAATAAAAAAAAAAACGATTTTTGCGAAATTGATCTTTAAGATTTCGATTTTTTGTGAATCGATTCATCTAATTTCGATTTGAATCGATTTAAAAATATGAAAAATTAAATCGCTATGCCGGCCATTTTGTTGACAGCTTTTCCTCACGGTGATGCTTCCGAAGTTTCAGAATTTTGGTGAATAGTGAAATATTTGTGGCGGCGGAATACTGCTAAATATCGCAAAGATCTTTTCTTACAAATGGTGGCAGCCATAAATTATGTTTATAAATTAAAGTAGTTACGAAAGTTAATAATTTGGTGTTATATCGAGTGCAATAGCGAGCGAAGCGAGCCTGGGACCGGGAGCACCCCGACTCGGACAGGTTAGGTTAGAAGAGGATGACGGGGTCGTGTGAGCGAGCGAAGCGAACAAACAGCCCCGTCATCCTCTTCGTGGTTATTTTTTTGTAAACCACTTAGAAGTAGGAGCCCCGCGAAGGGCCCGCTCCGTCGACCGACCTCCCTCGACTGCACCACGTTAAGTGGCGTGGGGCTTCCATCCTCCAACTCTCTCTACCCATAAATCAGGTTAAAATTGTCATAAAAATTACGAAACATAACCTCAAAATGAGATTTTTAAAAATTAATAAAAAAAAAAACTAAGCACGTCCGGCAGAAAGTGGAAGTAGGGGGTGACTGTACAACTCCTCCCCCTCCCCCCACGCTACCCCCCACCCCCAAATTCAGGCGACCGAATTGTAAACCTTACTTTCCAATAACTGTTTATTTACTTTGTTATTTGTTCGTACACTTACTAATTACCTGTATCAAATTTGCTTTCTCCTTACTTTCATCCACAAAATATCTCTTGATTGCCACATTTTGATTATTTGGTTTGTACAAAGCAGAATAAACAACGGCCACTCCTCCACAGCACTCAGCTATAATGGAAGTTAGTTGGTAATCATTGATATCAGGATTAAACATCGCAAGGCCCGAAACAAAGTTGATTTAAATCTTAGTCTTATTCAAGGTACGCAGTATTAGTTCAAGTCCGTACAGTTATAAAAATATCATGTTGATAAATTATATATTTTGTTCTAAAAATAGTCACTTTATTGGGGAAATAAATATCAACAAAATAAATTTGTTTGTTGTTTTCTGTCTTTAAACCTCAAGTGACATTTTAAAATGACAATGACATTTGAATTAAACGTTCCGAAATAGAAGTCATGAACTTTTCATAAATCATTTATTTTCTGCTTTCTTCCGACATGTACTACTTTTTTTTTTTATTGTGGCACATTGTTTTTTTACAACAGAGAAAACTATTTATTTTATCTAATCAATCAAAACTAAGTATAAACATTCCAAATAACAGCGGAATGAGAAGTCTGAAATAAATCAGCAGGCGTAGTTACGACATATTACCGTTAAGAAAATTTTAATCTTGAACAAAGCATTTAATTTACTAAGGAGATGGGCAATTTGTTTCTGCCCAGTAGAAAAATTGGCAAAACCCAACATTTAAACATAAATTGATTTTTGCCCGATATACGTGTACGTACAATTACAGGGCAAAAGAAGGGCACAGTTAAACGTGGTTAAATCATCTGTTTTCATGTAAAATTGTACTTATTAAAGACATAAAACAAGGGATGTTAATTATTGAACACAGTTTTATTTTAAAATAATAACATTGTATTACTTTGTCATGTTTCACATGATAATAAAGGGGGAAAGGGGCCATCTTCGATCCAGCTGCCCTAAGCGAACTGTAGAAAGGGAAGTTGATCGATCTCGAGAGGGTAGTGCAGCTAACGGCACCACCTGGAGGCGGCAGGATCATCGTTCCCCTCACGTTAGGGAGTTTGCAGCAGTTACGGTTCGCGACCACAATAAAAATTACAGCCCAAGGTGCTACGGCTGTGGGGAAAGGGGCCATCTTCGATCCAGCTGCCCTAAGCAATCTGTAAAAAAGGAAGGTGATCGATCTCGAGAGGGTAATGCGGCTTGCAGCACCGCCCAACAGCAGCAGGAATACGACTTTGTTATCGGACACTGTATCGGGAAATGGCGAGGCCACACAGATGCATTGTCAAGAAGACCTTATCCTGATGATTGCGAGAACAGTACTAGGCAAGAGGGTAAGGAAGTGGTATCCGTGAGGATGCTCAAGACAGACCACCTCAGCAACGAGTGGAAAGACAGATTACAACATGCACAGCAGGAAGATCCGGATATCAAGCCGATTCTGGAAAAGATGAAAACCCGGTATGACCGCAAAATGAACAACAAAGGTTTCGACGAAGGTTCACTAGTGTGGTTGCACAATCCAGTCCGCAACAAAGGGAAATCTCCTAAGCTTCAAGCTAAATGGGACGGCCCGTACCGGATTGTGACTAGGATCAACGATGTAACCTACCAGATACAGAAAGGCGCAAGAGGGACTCCTAAGATCTGCCATGTGGATCCTGGCGCGTTATTATGGGACCGATGATGCTCGGGACGAGCATGTCTTAGGAGGGGGCAGTGTTGCGCGCCTAAGTTGACGTCAGGTACCTGGCACTAGCACCATCTAGTGTCGGGGAAAAGAGCGAGGAGAGCTTCCTAGAAAATGTAAATCTTGACTTTAGACCAACAGCGCCATCTAGTATCGAACAGAATAATTAAGCTTTCTAGAAGCCCCACACTCGAACTTTCTGCGTCTGGTCGGTCGGCGCCCGTATCTACGGGAATATTCTGGATGTTTCGGTGTAAAAGTGTATTTAAACCCGCTGCATGCCGCGATCGGGGCAGTATTGAATTTGGCGAGATAAGCGAAGCTTCGGAGCGAAATAAAGTGAATCAGTGTGGTTAATTATTAGTGTTTTAAGTTTTAATTGGTGTTAGGTAATAAAAATGTAAATTTTGGTAATTCAATCGGCAATTTTTATTGTCACGAACCTCAAGGCCGTAATAATAAGTTTTTCTCGGCTTATGGGCATTTAAAACATGTCAGATAATGTTACTGCATTTTTATTGCGTGCCCCTTTTATTGATGATTTTCGCAAAAAGAGAGGTTCACGGAATTGTCTGGTAACTGATGATAGTGCCTCCATATAGTCTGATTTTTTCTTCCCATAGCGCGAGAACAACAAATATTTTTCTTAAAACAAGCTCTTTAGTAATAAGTAACAGTTTATTTATTGTTTATTTTGCAATCATTTTTGCTTCTTTATTTATAAAGTTTCATATTTCTCGTTGAATAACAAAAATATGCAGAAGTAATTGAAAATTCATTACTTTTACTGGAAATGTTTGATTGGCACACAAAAAAAGAAAAACTTGCCTTACAAGTACGAGTAGCCATAGATATAGTATAGTAGGCAGTTTATACTAAATCTATGCAATTAGCAGTGAATTATCACACACTTAATACTAATAACAAGCAATGACCACAAATAGAATGTGCGTGCGGTGACTGCTGTTGACACATAATGTTTAAAAACAAAATGCTGGCGCAGTGCGGTACCTATACTAAGAAAATAGCTGTTGTAGATGGAGTGAAGTGTGCTGAGTTCAAATATTTAAAAAATTTCATGAGAAAACCGCAACTATTTACGTAATCTAAAATAATTAAGTAAATATAATCGAAAAACTGTTGTGAAAAAACATGATTTTATTAATGTGTATCTTATTCTAATTACTTTTGGCGCTTTCTTTAAAATTTATCCTATGCTACCGCAGCGCCACCCATAATGGACGCGATTTTACGGACACTTATTAATACACAGAGACGGTTCCCTTTACTTCTACACTCCCTACTTATACTACGTAGTACCGTAGTACTATTATTTATTCTGAGGCTGTGCGGTTCCCTTTACCTCTACACTCCCTACTTATACTACGTAGTACCATAGTACTATTATTTATTCTGAGGCTGTGGAAGGAAAAGGGGAGATCTCCCGCCGGGCAAGGTGTTCTGCCCGGGGAGCGGCCAACGCTCCATGTGATAGTTCGGAGATGTTCTATATATACTGTTTATGAATTCGGAATATTGATAGCGTGATTTAGGCTTCGGTGTCTTTCGCTTGCGGCGCGACGACAGCGCTGCCACAATTCTGTCTTGTTTAATCTGTACACATCCCTCGCCGCGCACCCCTCACTCGGTACAAATATTTTTTCCCGCCATTGCATAATTCGTAACGTTTATATCATTAACATCGTTTTATTAAATAAGTATATTTTTTAAATAAAATGTGCATATTTATAAAATTACACCTTTAAACAATTAACCTTAACTAATTTTCGAATTTTCCCACTTTGCTAAAAAAGCTCGGGCATTTCCCCATAACTATTGAGTATTACTTTTTTTTATTAGGACAACCAACAAGAAGTACACGAACACAATGTAAATACTACAAATTACAGGAAGGTTTATATCTAAGTGTCATCTTAATTAAAGGTTGCCACGGAATGCAATGTGGACAACGAATATGTTTTTTTTTAAATTTACAACTATAAACTTAAAAGATATCGTAAAAAAAAATAAAAAAAAGATATCGTCGATTATATTAGGAATAAAACTAACGAGTTAGTGACACTAGAAAAAGTGACTATGAAAAAAGATAAAGGATATAATGCGTTCAAATTATACGTGTCCAAACAAAAACTTGCTGTCTTTTTAAATGACAGTCTTTGGCCGGACGGCATCTCATTCAGAAGATTTGTGCATTTTAAGTACAGACATCAGGAGACCTCAGATAATGTGTAAAATAAAATCGTTCATGTATAGTACGGCAAAATTTACTACTTTTAATTGTAAATCTGTTAAACGCTGTTTGGAATGCGTAAGACACCTGTGTGAAAAGTCTGACGTGCTAGCGCTACAGGAGACATGGCTTCTACCTGATGACATAACGTTTCTGGGCGAGATACATCAAGACTTCAGCTATACTGGTAAGTCAGCGGTTGATACGTCGTCCGGTATACTCACAGGCAGACCTTATGGTGGTGTGGCCCTCTTGTGGAGGAAAAATGCGTTTGATTGTGTCAGTGTGGTCGAATGTAGTAGTGTGCGTCTCACAGCAATTAAAGTGTTCCATAGTAAACGAACTTAAATAATATTCTCGGTTTATATGCCAACGAATTCAGTAGACAATTTAATAGAATTTACATCGTGCATGAGCGAGATAAGTGCAATTATTGAAAATGAAAATGTCGACTCTGTATTTGCGTTAGGTGACTTTAATTCGCATCCCGGTACATTATTTTGTAACGAAATGATAAATTTTTGCACGGATTACCAGTTGATTTGTGTTGATTTGGAGGTCCTCCCAACGGGCAGCTATACTTACACTAGTGATGCGCACGGTTGTCGGCGCTGGTTGGATCATTGCGTTGTAACTGAGGCCGCAAGGCGCTCAGTCATAGATGTCACTGTACTGTATGATACCTACTGGTCGGATCATGTTCCATTGCTGATCGAGTGCAATATTAACTTATTAAGATCAAAAAATGTGGTAAGCTATTTCTGTAATAATAAAATAATTTGGGGTGTCAGAAATAATAACCAAATAGAAACTTATAAAAAATTGTGTCACTCTAAATTAAAAGACGTAAATTTTCCACAGGAGTTTATGAATTGTTGTAATAATATATGTATTAATGATAATCACAAATTAATTTTAGATAATATGTACAGTAATATTGTTACTACTGTTCTTAGAGAATCAGCTCAGGCCAGTTGTAATAACAAAAGGAATAAGAAATATGTTGTGGGGTGGAATAAATACGTTAGAGACGCCCACGGGGAGGCTCGACTTGCCTTTCAAACGTGGGTCTTATACGGTAAGCCATCTTCGGGTTATTATTATAATAAAATGTGTGAAACAAGACTGAATTTCAAGTCAAAGTTAAAATGGTGTCAAAATCACGCAGAGCAATTAAGAATGGATAA